GAGTTGTGCATCACGAGATTTCTGGCTTAGAGATGAACTGATTTTCACGAATTTCAAATTAAGTTATTGTAGTGTCATGTAGAATTGCATCTGCGATGATATTTTGTGATATATAAAGTGATATGTGAGGTTAATGGTTTTGGCTTGCATGTGTGCGACTGTAATTTATTTGTGCAGTAGGAGATGAACTGGTTTTCATTAGGTTTATTGTGCATTTAGAACGGTGTGTTGTGCATCACGAGATTATGCCTTAAAGATGAACTGATTTTTTCAAGAATTTCAAATTGAGTTATTGTAACGTCATGTGGATTTGCATCTGAAAGGATATTTTGTGATAATAGAAAATGACACGTGGACTTACTAATTTTTGAAGAAATAACAATTATGGTTTTGTCTCATGTGTGCTACTGTAAATTATTTGTGCATTAAGAGATGAACTGATTTTGATTAGGTTTATTGCGCATTTAGAACGGTGTTACTCTGCTACACGAGATTTATGGCTTAGAGGTGAACTAATTTTTAGGAATTTCAATCACAGATATGAAATTCACGAGATTTTGTTGGCTTAGAGATGATAGTTGACTGAAAAAGTTTTATAAAAAGAAACAAAATGTTTTGTTTCAATAACAAACAAGTAAATTCACGTGAGCAATAAACTTAAACAATTAATACGGAGTATGATCTGCAGTTTATTCTTTCCTTACTAAACATGCGGAACACATAACTGCTCAATCGGTCAAATAAACTGCCAAGACATTAGACGTATAGCCCTCATCCACCATATATTTGATCGCAGATCGCAACTTATTTTGGAAGGCTAGGATTTGTTCTCACGTTAAGACTTGTTCTCATTTGAACCAATATATATATATATATATATATATATATATATAGGGGAGGGTTCCAGTGAGAATAGACTCCCAGGAGAGAAATGAGAATGATTTTTGGCCTTCCATCGTTTCAATCCTGCGACTTAGATCGAAGCTTCCGGCTGTTAAAAAATGCACGTCAGACGTGCGTGGAAGTAATTAAAAAGCCAAACGTGCATTGCAAAAATCTTTAAAGGGCATTTTGGTAAAAGAAATCAGCGAGTAATTATGGCGGTTGGGCGAATTATGGCAAGAATCCCGGTTAATGTGCCGGTGAAGGAAATTGCCTTGTGCAGAGTTCTACTGAAGACAGAGCTCTACTCACGCTTGGAAGAAATTATCAAGAACCGGCGAAACCCTACGAAGCTTTGGATTGAAGACGGCATCAACGAACGATACCGAAGGAGCATCTGGAAGCGGAAAATGTGCTACAGGTACGAAAAATGCGAAACTCATTTGCTCACTGTGTATTTGGTATAATTTTTTGGTATTACAGATTGAGTGCATGTTTAAACTTGAAGATTCTGGTGAACGTTCTTGAACGTGTTTGCATCAAAAACTATGAAAAGTGATATTTTAAGTGATAATTTAAATTCGATATGCATGAATTTAAGTTATTGAAGGTGTAGTTATAATTTAAGTTCCGTAAATGTGCATCCGATTCAATGCAAGAGTTCAGGATGAATAATCATCAATTTTGTATATCCATGATGGACAAACACTGCATTTAATAGGTTCAGGATGATTCTCAACTTGTTTTGTGGTTATGAAACTTTTAAATGTTATAGTCATGTAAAAAGTAAAACTCTGATAGAGTATAGTGCATTGATATACGGAGTATATGTTTTGTGTTGTTCTGTTAACAGTGAAGTGATATATTGGTTTGGTTCATTGTGTACATATGGAATTTGGAATTTCATAAAGTGCAATTTCAACTAAAGAGAGTGCGTTCTTGTATATGTATTATGAACACCCCTCATTCCCTGAACAAGAAATTTTGAAATAGTATTTAGGGTGATTGTGAACTTGTAGTGTTGTTATGAACCTTGCTAAATGTTATATACCCTGATAATGAGAAAACTGACATTGAATTAAAGTAAAGTTCATTGACATATATGTTGAGTGTTGTATGCATTGTGTGAAGCTAAAAAGTGTAACTCCAATTTGATAAAGTGCTACTGATATGTCAGAAAGTGTAACTCCAAACTGATTGTGTATTATGTGTGAAAGTGTAATTGAAACATCAAAAAGTGGTATTGTAATTTGATAAATTGCATAATGGATAAAGAGGATTGAGCATTCTCAAATTTTAGTTGCCATTTATTGAAATGCATAAATTAATTAAAATTTTGCATTAAATTGCAAATTTCAGAAATGGCAGAAACAACAATGCAGGCTGTTACAAAAGGAAAGGGAAAGAGAACAAATGATTCGCCTGCAAATGAATCCAAACGAACTGTTAAGAAGAGACAGAGGAAATAAGGAGCAGAAGATGAAAGTGATGATGACTTTCAGGTTCAACCCATTCTTGGATGTGTTGAGACTGTTTTGATTGAAAATATGGCAAAGAAAAGAAGTATAAAAGAGATCAAATCTGGCTATAGGTCAATACGTACGCGATCGTCACCACATGTGTTAGTTAAAGCTCTGAGTGGGATGACAGACGCTTAGAAAGAAGATATTAAAAAAATTGGATTTGGTGAGCACCATGCACCCAGCCCTTGTAGATCAGTTAGTAGATTATGAGTTAGGTTTTGTATGTATACCAACCATATCATCATTCACTTCTTTATCAATCTCTTCACACAATTCTGTTATGCTCCCCCATTGAGTCTGTTTTTCTTGTGTCAGTCCTATTGAAAAGGACGGCAGCTCTTCCAATTCCTTCGCGTACAAATACTTCTTCATATTCGCTCTTTCAACTCTTTCAACTGCACTTATTGTTTCCGCCCAAAACGCAGCGTCTTCTATCTCTGCAGTGCTTCTTATATCAATTTCTTCTCCATCATCCACCAGCCTTTTCATCTTTCCTAGCCCAATCAACTGTTGTGCACCTTCTTGCAATTTCTTGTACTTTTCTGATTCAGTTAAACTCCTCGGAGCTTCTTCACACATATTTATCACATCAACCACATTTTCTGCCAGCAACTTCATTTTTTGTGCGAATCTTATCACAAATTCCTGTAAATATTATAAATATTTAAAGTAAGTTCATGAACAAAAGTATATACAAATTGCACAATAGTTCACTAAGATTCTAATCCATACCTTAGCAATTCCAGTACCACTACAGTGCACAAATGGACCGCTTCCACGTTTCCCATCCATTTCTTTTTCAGAATTCAAATCCCTCTTTGGTGAAAACTCTTCAATTCCCATAGGACCATCACAGTACCCCATTCCAAACCCCCCAGACTCTATTTCCATCAATTCTCTATCTCTCAGTTGTTTTCCGCTCCACCCTTTCAGAACTGGAGAAGTCCTATCCACTTTGCGCGTGTATAAAACAACACGGTCCACATAGAACAGCTGCACAAAATCATGTTTTTTAATATATTGTAATAGTTATGAACATATAAAAGTAAAAACCATATAGACATATTTCATTTGCTTAACTTACTATTAAAAAAAGAAATGGACCGGTAAAGGCCTTTTCTTTCTTCTTCTCCCATGAAACATTCTTCTCAATTAAACAATTAATAACATGGTTGCACCAATTCAGTTCACTTATCTTTTCAACATCTTCCAAGTGATTCATTATCAGTGGAGTCACATACCCATTCTGGGTGCTATCTAGTAGCAAATACACAACAAGAACAACGAAATGCCTTTTGAACCAGTCACCTCCTTCACTTTTGCTCAGCATTGCTGCACTAACATCTGATGGGCTAATCTTATAATCCTCTTTGTCAAATATAGCTCTCCATTCTTGTAGCAGAGCACAGTCTTCATTTTTCTTCTTTTGGACAATTTTTTTCCCTCCTAAAGGAAAACCCAAGACTCTTGCAACATCCTCTTCTGTTATACGCACAATACTCCCATCTGGCAGCACTAATGAGCATTTTTTGGGATCAAAGTTTTCAACCACCCAATAACCTAGCTTTCCAGGAATTTCAGCAATATCTAGATGAGCGAGGTGAATGGTGAGCTCCATGCACCATTGCGAGTGAAATATTGTGCAGCAATTATTACATCGGAACTTAATGAGATGAAGGAAAAGAACTTGAGCGAAGTCAAGAAATTTGGGAAGGGGAAAAACATTAAGAAGTAGATATGATGTTGGGAGTAAACAATCTTCATGTCAATGCTTGACCTTTTAATTCTTGTGAGACATAGATTTTGGTTTTAAAAGGTGTGACACCTTACGCATTGGTTTTGTTGGTTACAAACACAATTAGGTTTTGATGCTTGAAATTAAAGTTTTTAAATTTAAATGGATTCGTTTTTGGCGTTAATTCAACACTGATTTACAATGTTATTTGGAGTAGTGAATGAGCATATCTACAAAGTGTATGCAAATATGAAAAATATGTGTTCACATATTGCACAATAGACTTAATAAAGTGCATATGGTTACTTATGTGTGTGGTTGGTTTAAATAAAAATGCACTATTTGCTTAAAAAATGAAACATTTGTTTGAAATGATGCATTATTTGATGAATACAAACAAATATAATGTCTGTTAGTCGTGAACAAATGACGGTTTGAAAATCAAAATCAGTAAAACTTCACACACAAATATTTATTAAAAATGCAAAAATTATTTTCAGATTAAGTGGAAGTGCATTGTAATATGCGATGTGAAACAGAATATAGATTGCATGTTTGAAAAAATACAGCAGTGCACAATGGGGTTTTACAAAATGCACGGTTTTGAAATAACAATGCATTAGAGTGACTTATATTATTCTTTGGGATAAGTTAGATTATCACAACGTAAAAGTACAAGTTCTAATAATCAACAATTTTGAAATAACATTGCATGTTGAAGTTATATTATTTGGGACAAGTCAAAATTAAAATTCCTAGTGTATAACAATAAAAAAGACTAATACTAGCTCCAACGTAAAAGTACAATTTCTAATAATGAATATATAATAATAATCATTCTTCCAAGTTCAGTGGACAATTCCTGCTATCATGATAACCTTTTTTATTACATTTTCTACATAATCGCTTACACTTCTTACTCACTTCAATTTCCTTCTCCTTGTCACTTTTAATTCTCTTACCGCAACCCTTATTTCGAGCCTGCTGAGGTGGATGCACGCTAATTTGTGTAGGAATAGGTGACCCATAAAAGCCTTTAATAACTTCACATTTTGAAGATGCTGCTGCACTACTTGGTTGAGAGCTAGACAATAATTCTTTTTGGACCTTAATGACATCAGAAAATTGCTGCAACAAGTGAGGATGATGCTCAATCATTCCAACACAAAAATGGATATCAGACCACAATGTCTTCATAGCTAATGTTTGTTCTTCAGTGCCAACACACTGTTTGAAAACACCATCTTCAAATGCATTAAGAGGCTTCAGAATTGAATCTTTGCACCATCGACGTAAGACATATCTATCTGGAATTGCGTTGACCTTCTTATCTTTCAACACGAAAAAAATATGACGACACAATATACCAATCCTCTCAAAATGTTTACAAGAGCAAAGTGTAGTACCGTCACTTGTATTGTGTACAAGTGTGAAATTTAATCCTCGCTCATCTGATATGACATAAGTAAAAACTATTCCCTCGTGTTGGAGACTTTGAATGGCACAAGAATAACAGGCGCAACATATTTCCTTCTGAACGAGATAAAAAATTGAAAGATTATAAACAGAGGAAGCATATCTTTCAATATGTAGCGGAGTCTTGTACTCGGGAATGGAGGACTCAGAAGCTTTGGTCAATTGTGTACTTTTATGTCTTTGAGAATCCATTGCACTTTCAAACTGCATATAAAACTCAACCAAACTAAAATTAGGATTAGTGAATTCATTGAAAAAATTATTTTCACTCTCTGAACGTGATGTAGTTCTAAGCAAGCCCGCCATGAAAAGATCACCAAAAAAAGCAGGAATCCACATCTTCCTAATCTCAAACATGTGAGAAAACCAATTGTGCTCAAGTAGGTCATATTCTCTCATCAAATTAGTCCATCTCAATTCAAATTCTGATGGCTGCAAGTAATGACTCCACGCGACTGAATTCAATTCTTTCATAAAATTTGAGTCTTTACTCAAAACCGGACCAACTTTAGAACTCACCTTGGACATGATATGCCACATACAAAATCTATGACATGTTGTAGTGAAAACCCGTGGAATAGCAATTTTCATGGATGGGTCTTGATCTGTTATGATGCACCTAGGTTCCCGACCCATTGCATTAAAAAAAAACGAAACAACCAAACATATGATTCAACATCTTCTTTCAACAACAACCCAACACCAAAAGTAATGCACTTTTTATGATTATCAACGCCAGTGAAAGGGGCAAAAACCATGTTATACCTGCATTGAGAAATAAATAAATAAATGCAATCACGAATATAACATTGTGCATTACGAATAACATGAAATGCATATCATATGTAAAGATTCGAAATTATAGCATTCATAAATTTATAAAAACTATGAAGTTAAAAAAAACGAATAATTATTTATTTACACAATATCTGTTTGTCTCGTATGTAGCATCAAACGAAACAACATCCCCAAATAATGCATAATTCTTTATGCACACCGGATCCGCCCAAAATATTCGTGTCAACTGGTCACTCTCATCAACATCATAGTCAAATGAAAAGGCGGAAGAAATCTCTTTCTTTATAAAAAGCTTATCTATCAACATTTGTGCATCCACACCAACTAAATAAGCCTTCAAATCACGTTTAAAATTCTTAAAATCCACGGATGTAGCACCAATATTAGCATAACCCCCGACAATTTCCTTATACAAACGATAGCATTTCATTGTGCCAATATTTGCTTTGGCACAATTCAAAAAAAAAATTGATGTCCAATGTCAAGTTTTCTATTGACTTTTAGAAATGGCTGCGACGAATCAGAAAACATACAATGGTTATGCCTCTCCTCAAAGAATGTAATTACATATCGATTCATGCCTGTAAGCCTAAAAACTGCACGTGCTCTGCAACCACACCTATTAGAAATCCTTCGTCTTTTTTTCTCCTCATCTTTAACACACACACCGGGAGTTGGTAAATATTCAACATCATGCTGCTCATCAGTTTCACATCCATCAGATTCGCATGAATCATTTTCAATAGTGAAATCTTCATTGTCACTAATCAATTGATTAGCTAAATCGTCATTGATGCATGAATCAGTTTTAGGTGCAACTGTGGTAGATTTAGATACATTTTTGAATCCATGTCTATTACACACCATATATTTCCAAACAATAACGCCATCACGAGCCTTCTGTTGGCTGCTTTTACGTGATTCAAAACCACAAACTGATGCATATTGATCATAAAAAAGCATACCATCACGTAAGTTATTGAATAACATACCAACACGCGGTTTCAAATCAGGGTCGCAATCAGGTGTCCAGTACATGGTGGATCCGGGAGAAAGTTGCACTGTATTAACATCTAACGGTTCAGAAATCGATGTAGAGGCACTAAAGGGAACGTCACTTGAACCTGATGACACCATACAAACAAATTATTCAAAAAAATGACTTTAGGGCATAGAGTACAGCAAAAGTGCAATATGGAAACCCAAATACGAGCAACCTAATACACTTTAAAGTGCACAATCAAGATAATAATAAATTTTAATATCAAAATACACCCAATTTTTTTATTAATATACAACAGGTAAGTTACAAACGCATTACATAGATATAGAACAGGTAAGTTACAAACGCATTACATACAACATCTACAAGAAACAAAGAATCATTCGTTTAACTTCTATACATAAAACTAAACTGGTAAATGTGTTGATTGGCATGCACATGAATCAGACGTATTTTGAATTCGTGTTGATTATGAATATACATAAAATAATTAAACGAATATACAAGAATCAATCGTATTGTAAGAGAACATAACATCTGTACGTAACGATCAACACTAACTGAACTCCATGAAGAACTTTAGAATGGAGAATCCAGAAGATGACGAAATAACTCAGTTCGTAGAAGGAAAGCTACGTTCATGAAGAAAAAAGATTGTTCGCAGAGAAGGAGAGAAGCAGGATGCAGGGGAACCGGTTAGGAAAGAATTGCGGAGAAGCAGTTAAGGAAAGAATAACGCACGAGATTCTAGGAAACGGTAATTTCGAACTTGAGCTTAATACCCTCTACGGAAATGAATTAATAGATGAAAAAATAAGGTAATCCAAGGGCTGTAATCTATTCTTTTTTCTCTCCTAAGATCTTATGCTCACATGAACCTAAATCTATATATATATATATAGGGAGCGGATCAGCTGAGAAGTGCCCTTAGGCTGAGAAGCTGAGAAGTCTAACTTATAAGCAAAAAACATGAACTTTCTGCAAAAAAAAAAACCAGGTTTCTGAAGTTATTTTGACGCGGTGGCATTTTCGTAATTTTTTTGGAGGGGGTCTATAAGTTATGATTTATTGGTTAAAAGTTCGTGTTTTGAGCTTATAAGTTAGACTTCTCAGCTTCTCAGCTTAAGGGGGACTTCTCACATGATAGGGTAAGGATCAAATGAGAATACCATCTTAGGAGAGAAATGAGTATTGTGCATCATGTAAAACAGAAATGTGCATATAAAAAATTGGAAAATGTGCATTTCATCTGTGCAAAATTTTAAACGTAAATGTGCACATTAGAATTTTGCATTACTTTAACGATAAATGTGCAATTTCGTGAAGGATAAAGTGCATCGTTTTGAAGCGTTCTCACCTTTTTCTTCTTTCCTCCTCCTCTAATACCAGGTTCGAACTCCTGACGTGGTGGATAGGAGTATCATATCAAACCATCCAAGCCAAAGAGGAGCCAGTTTTGAAGCGTTCTCATTTCTCACGTTAAGGAGTGTTCTCATCGAAATCGCACCATATATATAATTATATATATATTCTTCTATATATATTATAGAAGATAAACTTGCTAACAATTGAGATGTAATAGTTTTCTCTCTTATATGTAGTGCTTTTAAGTTTTAAGAAAATAAGGCGGCTAACAATTGAGCGAGATAATTTTATCTCTCATATGTAGTTGTTTTAGGTGTAAGAAAATAGACTTGCTAATAATTGAGCGGGTGAAATTTCTCTATCATATGTAATTAATTTAGGTATAAAAGTTTTACGTGTAAGAAAATAATTTGCTAATAATTGAGCGGGAGAAATTTCTCCATCACATGTAATTCGTTTAGGTATAAAATAGTTAGCTAACAATTGTGTAGAACAATATTCTCTATTACATATTAGCAATTTCTTATTTAACTAATATTCGTTAATTTTAATATTTACTGTATTCACTTAAATTTTATGTCATTTACTTATTGTACTCACTTTTTTAGAATAGTATTTAATTTTAAATTTATTTAATCATGAAAATTAATAGGTAGATAATTCCAATGAGTTGTGTCAATTAATTTTATTTCCCTAATATAGTCTTCATTGAATATTTATTGTATGACTTATACTTTATGATAATAGCTTATTCTACTCTTATATTTCGAAAATGTAGACTCATAAAAAGTTATTTTTATTTTAATACTTAATTAGATTATGAGTAAAAATATATGCACTAACTGCTATTTCTCGTGCGTATGTATGGGTACTATACTAGTTTATTAGAAACGAAAGGTGTACAAAATTATAAAAGGTAAATTCTACCTAATCAAATGAATGGTAGGTACGGTACCTTATTTTTTAAATGAGTACCGAAGTTGTCGCCATTATAAAACTCAATGACATACGAAGTTATTTGCCAATTTCATACTCTCTCTGCCAATTTCATAGTCTCCACATAATGTAAAACACAGTTGAGTTTGACTTAGAATTTTAGGAAAATAAATGGTAAATTAACTTGCTTTACAATTATATCTTGTTATCCAAACTCATGCTCGCATGCCAATGCTCTTATCAATGCTCTTAGGATGTTTTTACTTGGATTGTAATTTGATGGTCTGGTCTGGTCTGATCTGATCCGGTATGATCTTGTCTGGTCTGTACTGGTCTGGTCTGGTTTCTTTGTATTTTTATAACTATCCAAGTCTGGTCTGAACTGGTCTGGTCTGAGACGAATTACAGTCCAAGTAAAAACATCCTTAGAATGTTTTTAATTGGACTGTTTTTAACCTCAGACCAGATCAGACTTGGACAGTTATAAAATACACAAAGACCAGACATTTTCTAGAACGGACCAGATCAAACCAGAAAATACCAATCCAAGTAAAAACATCTTCAAACCACTTTCAGGTTAGGCTGTAGTACCATACTCTCGAATACCTTCACATCCTTTGAAATCGATGCCTGTGTTGTGTGTCGTTCATCTAAAACAGTTCATCCTCCTCCTCCTCTATTCGCTTTAAATAGCAGTTTTTTTTTATTTGTGTGTGTTTTACTTAATAATAATTAAATCAAACAAAAAAAATTAATAGCAGTTTTTTCCAATTTTAATAAATTGTTTTTTATATATGGAGTGTTTTCTGATATTGTTCTGATATTTGGACTTTGGCTTCATGTTTTTTGATTTCGATAAATTTCTTATTTCGATGAAAAGTATGGGTTTTCTGATTTTTGAATATTGGATTTACATTTTGCCATTTTTTTGACAATTTCATTTCATTATTTAAAGAGATAATTTCTTAACCATGAGTGAAAGTTGTTCTAATTGCAACAATAGGACTTCAATGTTCGGTAGGAGTAAAAACAAGTGAGTTGATAACATTACAATTTAAAATAATAAAAGAAAATATAATAGACCCACCTCAGTCTCCTCTACCGCTCTACGCAAGGCTTAGCTACAAACATCACCTGGTGTGCCACCTCCACTGTCACCAACAAGCCGCCAATCAAACAAAATATCGAATAGTATTTTTTTTTCTCCAGGAGGGTCTGAGGGAGGGTGGCTGGGATCTGGAGTAATCAGGGTTGAAACTCACTCCATTAAGTTTCAAACCCTTATGTGCCTAACGGGTTTCAAACTCGAGACCTCCCACTAGGCACGGTAACCTCACAACCAGCTGAGCTGGAATGCTTGGTTAAATATCGAATAGTATATTATCATTACTATTTGTGATTGTGTGAATGTTATCTCTTCCACACCCGTTATTTTTTTACTTGATAGTGTCAAAACAGTGTAATACATTAAACATAACTTATTTCAATCCAAATCTCTTATTTACGTTTTTAACCATTCTCCCTTGTTTATCCTTGTTTTTATATCAATATGTATATTTTGTTAAACGTACAACCAAGTGTGATCAGCATTCAGCAGTCCTTAGTCCTTACCGGTACAGCCCCCCTACAGGCTACAGCCTACTCCATGATCCCAACTAAAGTTGCACTCCTTTAAATAACTTGAATCAGCAATCAGGCTTCTGGGAAACAAAACTAGACAGTAAAAAAACCACGACCGCCCCCACAGGAAAGTGCATCAGAATTCTGTTCACAGCTCGCTGCTTTTTTGCCTGATTTCTGAGATCTTTATTAATGAAAAGTAGCAAAATGGCTATCATTAATTTAAGTGCTATTCTTTTTTTGCTTTGTTGCTTGGTTATTCCCACTTTAAGTATCATTTCATTTCATTTTCATTTACCCCAGTGCCACAAAGGCTCCCACCTACGGTGGAGTATTCCCACTTTCAGTATGTACTACACTACTACATAAAATTATAAATATAGACACATTCAAGACACAAGAATTAAGCTTTTGTAGACTAAGAAGCAGCGGACTAATCTCTTGCTATGCAGAGGTGTTAAATAACTTTGAAAACTAAAGATGTAAAAAAGTGTGTTATAAAAAGAATCAAGTTAATGAAAGCATTGGCTTAACATGATCTGATCGTATAATAAGTATAGAAAAGGTGATGAAAAACATTTAAATATCAGAAGTTGACATACCCTAATGGGATGAGCCTATATTACTTTCCAACTACTAGCGTTATATGTACATTGTACAGAATAGGAAAAGAGATACAAAATTAAGGGGAATGCCCTATGGATAGAGTAATTACATCCATGCATTCCATGACCTACCAGAAAGCACATTACTACTTAATCTGGTGTTTGGGTGATGCCGTTTGGTGGAAGCCACCCTATTCTGCATCAGCTATTCGGCTGGGACCGTGACTTTTGAGGAGCCTCAAGTATGTGGCCAGGCTGATTTCGTTAGTGGATATACCGCCACCTCTGGCATAGAAGAGAATATATGTTCCATTCGATGAATGTATTTAGAGGTTACCCATAATCAAGACTAAGACGCTCGACCCTCTCCTCTGGGCATTTTCTTTGATGCATCTGCATACAAATACATTGAATTAGAATGGACAACATTCCCCCGTATAATTCACAATGCATATGGGGAGAGTGATAGACTCAGCAAAAACAGTAAAAATCAGCAGTACATTGATGAAGATCGCAGATTTACAAGTGCGGAAATCCTAAGAAAGAGAAGAAACAGATAGTTGGGACTCTTCGAGAGGTCCCACTCTCCCAGCCCAATTCTACAGAATTCCAGCCTACCCTCTCCCTCTTCTATTCCTTCTATTTAATCTTTTCCAAATGAGGCTTCCCTCAATCTATCTAATTACTTGTCCCAACCCACTATTACAGTTTATTAAAATATTAAGCTCATAAGTCCAGGTCTCTATCATCACTCCCCCCTTTGACAACCACCTTGCCCTCAAGGTGGGGAGTAAGAAACAGCCATGCCATTCAGCTTCATCTTCGCGCCTTTTCCTTCCCAGTATCTCCCTGATTTTGGGACCCTGAACTTCATGAACTGAACCTTTGTCATCACTTTTTCCACAGCAAGGAGCAGAGGCAAGGGCTGGGTTACATAATGCTTCACTAAAACCTTGCCAACACCAAGTGCAACAACCCATACAAAGTCGTTCTCATTGGCCAGACAACCTGATGCGCGCACGAACAGTTTCCGAAATAGCCCATTAGAGAATAATTCATGAACTCCCTTTGCTTCCCTGATTGGATATGCATCCAACTTTATTAGCCCAAGTGAGGAGAAAAAACTCTTAACGATTCTTCCCAGCAAGTAGGGCTCCACTTCTATATTTCCAACATCATCAACTAGCTTGGTTTTCATTAGAAGTACACAACTGAACAGTTCACTTCTGGATCATTGAAGCATAAGACCAATTTATAAGCTTGAAAATTTACTTCATCTTCCAGTCCATTAACAATTTCTGGTGTTATAGATAAATTCATGAGTTGTTCTCTCTTGAAGACATCAACTACAGCAGCCTGAATAATAGGGTCCAGATCCACACTGATTCTACACAACTGGTATTCTGAAATAGGTCCAAAAACATTGCCATGATTCTTAAATTTGATAACAGCACCAAACTCCTCCATTGCATGAATTCTTCTTTCAAAAATGCTACTAAGAGCAAATTCATTATCCCATCTCAGTCTAAAATCAGAGGAGTCCCAATTTGCAGAAAGTACCAAATTGCATCCCTTTACTGCCATCCCAGACTTGACATCCACGTGATTAAAAGGTGTTCCTTCAATTGCACTAGTCTGTAGATTATCCTCCAACAAATTCTTGTCCAGGGCACTCAGGACTAAGACAACACCTGCACCCACAGGATCTTGGCTCTGACCTTCAACATAAGCAACACTATTCTCTCTCCATCTGCTATTAGCAAGTGTGTGAGCACTGTCACCCTTCTCCCCATCCTTATCTCTTTTCCGGAGTATTATGATCCATTTACCAGCAATAGTAATACAGGACGAGTAGTCAACACCTACAGTTCCCTCTTGAACAGATATACAAACAGCTGGCAGCCCCCTAACATCTTCACCAACTATAATGGCATCTGGGAAGAGACTATAATTGAGAATATTGACAAACATCAGATTCACGTCAGCCTCAACTTCAGTAACATATCCAACATACTCCTTGGAGTTCCCAGTAAATCCTTTGGTCCTTCCTCCAACCCATTTTGATTATACATCATGGGAGCGAAGCCATCAATTCTGAAGCTATCAAACTTGTTCAGCCATTCCATAGTAATGTGTGATGATTGACGGTACACAGAATCCATTATAACACCCAATCCCGGTTCATGAACTTTGTGAGACCAGCCCTCTTTACGAAATGTTGCAAAATCATCTACTGGCTGATGCATTGTGGTAGTATCATGTTTAATGTCTGATCGTATTCCATTTTCTAGGACACTGATGAGTGTTGCATCTCTTGCTTCGCTATTAATTCCATTTGTAGAAACCATATACGAAGTAGCTTAAGATTCATCTGCTTGTCCAATGACCATAAGGATTTCCATCTGAACAGATTTTGTAAAGCAAGTTGCACGTACATCAGAACCTTGAGTTCTTTCAACGTGATGCTCAGTAGTGACCAGACCTCCCACACTAGTATGTGCGGTTGAATATGCCATACCTATAGACGTTTCAGAAAACACTTGGTTCTCAATTCAGAATCAGCAAAATTATCATCATCCGATTAATTTTCCGTTCATTGTCACCATCGCTGAACGTGTCTTCGAATGAAGGTTGCCGCAAGTTAACAGACTCCTGCTGCAAACCTGGAGAGTCTGAGTGCGAAACAATTTGCGAAGGGGAAGAATAGGCGAGAGCACTGTGCGTCGCGGTTTGAGATGCCCTCTGCAAACTGTTAGAAGCCTCTAGCGATGACGATTGGTGAGACACTAGTAGCAAGGGCGAACTGGAACTCTGAGACGCGGCTAGAGACCTATGTAGCACAGAAACTCTCGAGAAAGGGCACGTTTCCGTTTCGGAAACTCTACGAAAACTCTTTGGAAACCATCCAAACAAGCGTTTTTTTACAAAAGTTGACGCTTCCCATTTCCCATTTCCTCTTGATTTTCATGTTTCCGTGCAACATAGCTAGAGACTCAGAAGAACCCTGCGAACTCAGAACAACTAATAGCGACGAAGATGTCAATTGCGATCTGGGAGCTTCTTCATGCGGCACAGATTGCGCACTTAGCGATGATGATGGAGCCTGGTTTCAAGAATTCCGACGGCGTCTAGGAGGGCTCCTCGCGCGGTCTCGATGTCGCCTGCGATGAAGTTTGCGCAACATGTGGCGTATCTCTTCCACCATCGATCGCACCTCTGTGGTGTTGCGCTCCATGTTCTGCTTGAGATTATACAAGCGATGCTCGTGAGTAGCCACACGAACGAACTGCTCTGATACCATTGATAGAGACTCAACCAAAACAGCAGAAATCAGTAGTATATTGATGAAGATCGCCGATTTACAAGTGTGGAAATCGTAAAAAGAGTAGAAACAGATAGTTGGGACTCTTCGAGAGGTCCCGCTATCCCAGCCCAATTTTACAGAATTCCAGCCTACCCTCTCCCTTGATAAGAACCGGTAAAATTGGGTGTATATAGAGAAAGAAGAGAACGGAAAAGAAAGAGATACAGGCGAGACACTTCGAGCAGTCCCCTCTCCCAAGTCTAATTCCCAAATTTCTGCCTGCCTTCTTCTTACTCCCTACCTTCTATTTATACCCTTACTTATGGGCCGCCCAAAGTTAACTAATACCAGTCCCAGGACCCTCTAATACACTATCACAAAATATTATTATTATAATAATATTCTAATTATTATTTTCTTCAGGAATCCTATCATCCCTCTTCTATTCCTTCTATTTATTCTTTTCCAAATGAGGCTTCCCTCAATCTATTTAATTACTTGGTCCAGCCCACTATTACATTTTATTAAAATATTAAGCTCATAAGTCCCCAATATCTTTTGGGACTAAGACTTGGATGTTGTTGTTGTTGTATTAAGCTCATAAGTATAGAGACACTAAAAAAGATCTGCATTTGATGTCCATTGACTTAGAAAAGGCATATGATAGGGTACCCCGAGAAGTCCTTTGGTGGGCCTTAGCTAGAAAAGGCATATCACGTAAGTATATTAGTATCATCATGGATATGTATGATGCTTGTACTACAAATGTCTGCACGGACTGCAGAGTTCCCTATTACAATTGGAGTGCACCACGAATCTGCTCTGAGTCCTTTCTTATTTGCTATAGTCATAGATGAACTTACGAAGTCAATTCAAGAAGATATACTGTGGTGCATGATGTTTGCCGACGATATTGTATTGATTGATGAGACGCAATCCGATGATGTTAAAGCAAAGTTGGAAGTATGGCGACAAACACTGAAGACCAAGGGTTTCAGACTAAGCCGAAGCAAGACTGAGTATATGGAGTGCAAGTTTGGTGAAGGTAAAAGTAGTAGCAACATTGGGATTACTCTTGATGGTAAGGAGATACTGGTGTGTGATATATGTCGGCTCCATAATTCAGAAGTATGGTGAACTAGATAGAGATGTACGTCATAGAATCAGAGCTGGGTGGATGAAATAGAAGAATGCATTAGGATTTCTATGCAATTGAGGTATGTCGACTAGAGTAAAAGGTAAATTTTATCGAACAGCAATTAGGCCCGCATTAATGTATGGTGTAGAATGTTGGGCGGTGAAACAATGCCACATTTAAAAGATGAGTGTGGCAGAGATGCGTATGTTATGTTGGATGTGTGGACAATACAGGAAAAGACCGCATGAGGAATGAGATAATCAAACAAAAAGTGGGAGTAGCACCTATAGAAGATAAGATGCAGGAGTCTCGTTTGCGGTGGTTTGGGCATGTGCGTAGAAAAACCGAGTGATGCACCTGTTAGACGACTTGAGGGGTGGGGAGAAGAGGCAGAGAAGAGAAGGAGGGGAGATCTAAACAAACTTGGATTAGAGAAATCAGAACTAATATGCGTCTTCTTGGGTTGGATGAGAGTATGACTTTGGAGACGGCAAAGTGGAGGACGCACATCCGTGTGGATGATTGATGTCTTTTCTACCTTTCCTCTCTCTTTTCTTTTATCGTTTATCTTCTTTATCTTTTTATATTCTTATGTTATTTTTATCTTCTAGCTTTTTTATGCTCTTTTATCTTTTTATCTTTTATCTTTCTTATTTTCTTATGTTATTGTTATCTTATATTAATTTATCTTTACTTTATTCGTTTTATCTTACGTTTTTCCCTTCATGTTTGTCTTCTCTGTTTGGCATTGATATCATTGATCGATTCATGTTAGCTGACCTCAAATTCTTTTGGGATTAAGGCTTGGATGTTGTTGTTGTATTAAGCTCATAAGTCCAGTCATCCAGGTCTCTATCAGAGAGAGAAAGATGGCCTCAGGCCACTACACAGTATAGGACACACATGTGGGGGTGGGGTATGAGAAAGAGAGAAGGGGGCATACGGTCTTCAACATCCTTCAACTGATAGTAGTGAGGAGCTATTTCTACCAACCATTCAGGCTTTAGTTCAGTAACCTGTAATTGAAGTAAAAAATGGTTAACCTCAACTGTCAGATGAAAGGGAAAAAAGGCTACTGAGGGGGTACGTGGTTATACCTGTCGCATGTACTCTTTGGTTGTATGAACAAGCTCGTGATAGACAACCCATCTAGGAAGAACCTACAAATGTACATCAGCAATTCTCAAGCTTATGAAGTGTACAACATAAACGTAATAGCGGGACAAGAAGTCAATGATTACATCTAATATACTGCTAATGAATTCAAGCCTTTGAAGAAAAATATGCATTCAGAATCCGCATTACAATTTTTAGTACCATATGAAATCCAAGAACTTTTCGAAAAATCTTGAGATATCAAAACTCCTTCCCAGTAAACCTTGCAGCATACATGCAACTTATGTTGTCCAAACAATGCACATAATCATATAAATGAAGTGTACCTGTGCTAGACCTGAACTGGGATGAATATGAACAGTCAAAGGAAGCTTAACAGTTCGATAACTTCCATTCTTTTGCAGCCTTGCTGAGTGAGGAAAGAATCCAGATGTAATGGACTTCTTTATAGCATCTAGATCATTGAGATTTGAAGTCAATTCAATTTCTACTCTTTCTAGAAGGCCCTCTAATTGGTCTCTGATGTCTCTAGCTCTTTTCATGCTTCTGACCTGGATATGAACCATGAATATAATTAGAATCACTATTCAGGGACATGGAAGAGAGAGAAAATAGGTTGTCCTCATTTTAGGCAAGTTTCTTCAGAAGCAATATCAATTACTCCCTCCGTCCCGGAAAGAACTTCCAACTTTCCTTTTTCGTCCATCCCGATAAAACTTCCACTTTCCCTTTTTGGTAAAGAATTTGTGGTTCACAACATTTGACATTTTTACACATTTCTCTCTTCTCTGCACAACTCTCCACCACACAATACCCACTTTCTTAATATGCGTGCCATTTGTACTATGGAAGAACAATTAGGGACGGAGGGAGTATATAATGACTTGTGGCTATAGCGAATTTCTCAACCCATCACTATCTCAAAACATTCTCCATGCAAGTACAAAAAACATATTAGGGTGACGTTTTTGGAAATTCAACTCATTATTCCTTTACAAGAATGTGGCAACAAGAAGGGCTCCAAGCAAGTATGGGTAATTAAAGATTATTCTGACAGAAAATATGTAAAAAACCAAGCCTCTGCCAAACAAACCGACAGAAAGTTAATCATATCAGTATGTACCTAGAATGCTTAACAAAAAATAATACCTGAATGTAGTTCTCATAGCACCACTGGGTTGAAAAGTTGGTTTCTTTCCATGAGTTATAAACCTACAAGACCAAGGAAAAACACAAATAAGTAACTCAACTATCCACTAGTGGAATTGCTTTCAGTTCACTGTAGTAGCCTAATTAGACTGAGATAGAGGCTCAGAAGTTATCTCAAAGCTAAGATGCGAGAAAATCACAAATGTGTATCTTTTAGCTTAGACAACCTTATTTTTGCAGTGAGAGTAATGCTTAGACAACCTTATTTTTGCAGTGAGAGTAATGCTTAGACAACCTTATTTAGCATTTATGCATCTTTTTCTGGAATCTTTTAACTGAGTCTTGTAAACAGAGCAAAGTGTGTTAGGGTTAGGATCTCTAGCGCTCACACACAAAAATCTGAAAAACTAGAAAGAAAAACGAGAACAGCACAAGAATTTAACGTGGTTCAGCCAGTAAATGTTACTGACCTAATGCATGGGGGAAACTAGGGTTTTCTTTCTTATTGAGGTGATGAAATACAGTACAGTGGTTTACAAGTACAGGAGGTAGTATATAGGCAACCAATTAGCGTAAACTTTTAATTAAACTCTGGGCCTGACTGCCACCAAAAACAGGCCCAACTAGGGCTGGCTGCACATCTAGCAAGGGCCGTCTGCACTTCCAGCTACGGCTGGCGGCACTTCTAGCTAGGGCCGGCTGCTGCTCACTGCTTATTTGGCTCCCAGATCTGAGTGTGTCGAAGCCTACACCCCAACAAAGTGTGCTTCCTCTTAGTTCAAGGCTAGATGAAGTTCATATATTAGAAGTCTTCATTTTTTTCTGAGACTTGTTACATTACAATCCTAAATTCCACCTCCTGATGTTGCATCATTTCATTGAATCTCCTTTTGTTTCTAAGATTATGTTTGAATAATTTTTAGCTTATGGGGTTGGACAATTCTAGACAATCAGTGAAGAAATCTCCCTTGCCTCATCAGGAATAGTGTTAGAACTCTGCAATTCTACAAACAATTCACAGAAGCTAACAAGACAACTGCTCGAACTTTATTTCTCAAGGCAACAATGGCCGAAGCCCCCAAAAGATAGAGATACAACTCTGATCTTCCCAAAAATGACTTAGAGTCAGAAACAGCCTACTAACAATATCCAGTTTACTACTATTTATAGTAAGTAAGTAACTACTCTACTAACCGGAAAACAGTTATTAGCTTTCAACAACTATAACTACTAACTAACTCTACTTCCTTCTAGAATATACTTTGCCAAAGTACTTATCATCTCCCCTCAGTTTAGTAGAGTCTATAACAATACTCCTCTTCTGAAAATCCAACTTGCCCTCAAGTTGGAAGGATGGAAATTGTTGCTTGATGATATCTTCCCTTTCCCAAGAATCTTCAAAGTCTGGAAGATCTTCCCAGTGCACCAGAACTTCCTTCTCTCCAGTAGCATTTATTCTGACATCCTTTATCTTCTCAGGTTTGACCAGTAACTCACACTCCTCTGTCGTACCCACTGGAAGATCTTGGTATGTACTAGTAGGCTTCAAAACCTTCTTCAATAGAGAAATATGAAACACAGGATGGACTCTACTCCCCACAGGTAACCTTAGCTTGAAAGCCACTGGGTTAATCTTCTCTAGGATCTCAAAGGGTCCATAAAATCTGGGGCTTAATTTCCGATTGCTCCGGAGGGCTAAACTCCTCATTTTATATGGCTGTATCTTCAAAAACACACTGTCTCCCAACTTCTATCTTCACTTCCCTTCTGTGCTTGTATGTTTGTTGTTTCATTTGATTTTGAGCTTTGGACAAATGCTCCTTTAATTCCTTAAGCATCTCATTTCTTTCTACCGTCAGCCTAGATACCTCCTCCACTGCTGATAAACTGACATCCCCTCTAATGATTACAGGTGGGTCTTGACCAAACAATGCCTTATAGGGAGTATTCTGTACTGAAATATGATAGTTGGTATTGTACCATAGTTCAGCCCAAGGTAACCATTTAACCCACTGTTTTAGTTTCCTCCCAGTCATGCATCTCAAATAAGTCTCCAAGCACTTGTTTATTATTTCAGTTTGTCCATCACTTTGAGGGTGATAAGTTGTACTATACTTCAATTTAGTTCCTGCTGATTTAAACAATTTTGACCAGAATGTACTCAGAAAGAGGCTCTCTATCACTCACTATGGATTTAGGAAATCCATGAATCTTCACTATCTCCTTCATAAACAATTATGCCACTTCCTTAGCATGATAGGGATGTGCTAATGGCAGAAAATGTGCAAACTTGGTTGCAGCAACCCAGCAGGTTTTAGAGCCTGATACTTGTTTCTTTGACATATATCACACCCTTGAACAAAGTTTTGTATCTCAGATCTCATTCCCACCCAATAGAATAGATTTGAGATTCTTTTCATTGTTCTGAAGTATCCGGAATGGCCTCCCACAGCTGATTCATGGTATTCCTTCAATATTTTTGCTATTCTGCTAGACACCCTGAGGAATTACCAATATCCACCCTTGATCCTATAGTTCTTCACCTTATCAGATTGAGTTAGGACCTTCTGGATTAAGCCTCCACACCAAGCATCCTTCTCCGATTCCTCCTCTAATCCCTTCCATTCTTGACAGGTGACTATGGATAAGGAATTCATAGTCATCTTTCTGGAAAGGGCATCAGCTGCTCTGTTTTCCACCCCTGGTTTGTATTTGATAGTAAAATCAAAGCCCATGAGTTTGGTGATCTATTTTTGATGATCTTCTCCCATAACCCTCTGCTCAGTAAGGTATTTCAAACTCCTCTGATCAGTTAAAACCTCAAATTTCCTTCCCAGCAGGTATGGTCTCCATTTTTGGACTGCAAACACTATGGCCATTAATTCCTTTTCATACACAGACTTCAACTGGTGTTTTGGGGATAATTCCTTGCTCATAAAGGCTAGGGGTCTGCGTTCTTGCATCAAGACAGCACCCACTCCCTTCCCTGAGGCATCAGTTTCCAAGGTAAACCTCTTAGAGAAATCAGGAGTGCTCAGCACTGGTAAAGTAGTCATAACAGTTTTCAATTCTTCAAATGCCTCTCTTGCTCTTTCATCCCAAATGAACCCCCCCTTCTTCAACAAGTTGGTCAAGGGTGCAGCAATCTTACTGTACCCCTTGACAAACCTCCTGTAGTAGTCGGTCAAACCCAGAAATCCTCTCAAACCCTTGATGTCCTGTGGCTCCTTCCAATCCACCATTGCCTCTATTTTATTGGGATCTGCAGAAACTCCTTCCTCATAAATAATGTGGCCCAAATACACCAATTGTTGCTGACCAAAAGAGCATTTGCCACCAGTTTATTAATCTGTAAGCATACTTGTCACGGCGGTAAGGCGAGTCGCGGCGCCAGCCGATCGCCTAGGCAACAAGGCGCCCGCCTAGGCGACAATTAGGCGACTTGTCGCACAATATACATAATTATATTTTATACATAACAATACAACATTCTATTTAATTTGTATTTTAATTACATATTATATATGATATATTAAGAATGCAATTGTATATTGCCTAATAATTTATTAATATATTAGTATACCTAATTGATTAATATGAAAATTATTAATTTCAATATTAATATACCCAATTTATTAATTTATTATATATCTAATTTATTAATATACAAGTTATATTCATTGGTAATATATACTGTAGTATGTATCTATGCATGTTGTATAATGTGTACCTAATATACATATATTATATTAAAATTAAACTATGTAAAACTGTAGTGGATATACTGCTGAGTGGGTACGAAGTATTAATGTTAATGTTTAATATCAATATATAATAGAATAAGAAGTCTGATAAAGACTAACGTGATAAGATGAATGACCGATAAAAATAAAAGGCTGGGAAGAGTGCACGCCGTCTTCAACCTTGTGACGCAGGAACACATCAACTACAGATCGACGACCTTGCTACAGAGGCACAAATCAGAAAAGTAACGACTAGCGATGCTCCGCCTTTAGGAATCGTCGATTGAGCTTCGAGGTTGAGAGTCGACGATTGTTCTTTTAGGATGGGCTTCAAAAAACGAATTTATTGAGATTTCAAATCTCCCCTGGCGTGACGCCAAGACTGCGCCTGGACGACGTATTCACGCCTGGACGACGCCAGAGGCGACTAGCCTTCTTCCGGCGAGTTGATCACCCCTGTCGACCCTTCTCCATCGACAGGACGCGTAGTCGGCGACTAGGCGACGCCTAGGCGGCGCCGTGACAAGCATGTCTGTAAGGCTTCTAGAATCTTTCTCAAATGTTCCTTGTGCTCCTCAATAGATTTGTTGTACACTAGTATATCATCAAAAAAGACTAGAGCAAATTTCCTTAGAAAAGGTCTGAAGATTTCATTCATTAAGCACTGGAAAGTGGAAGGAGTATTGGTAAGCCCAAAAGGCATTACCAAGTATTCATAATGCCCTTCATGAGTTCTAAAGGCAATTTTGTGGGTGTCACAAGCCTTCATTCTGATCTGGTGATAACCAGATTTCAGATCTAATTTTGAGAAGATTTTAGCTCCGCCTAACTCATCAAGCAATTCTTCAATCACTGGGATGGGGAATTTATGAGGTACTGTTATTTTATTCAAGGATCTGTAATCTCCACAGAACCTCCAGCCCCCATCTTTTTTCTTGGCAAGTAAAATGGGGCTGCTATAAGGGCTGTTACTGTTTTTTTAATTATTCCAGACTGTAACATTTCCTAAATAATTCTTTCTATTTCATTCTTCTGATCATAGGTGTACCTGTATGGCCTTAGATTTGGAATGCTAGCTCCTTTGATGTTGATGGAGTGGTCACAAGCCCTCTCAGGTGGAAAGTCCAACTCCTTTTTGAAAACTTCAGGAAATTCTTTCAAAATATCTTCCCACTCCAAGGTACCTTCTTGATTCTGCTCATGTTCTTGTAACCTCCCTTCACAGTATAGCAAGTATCCATCTCCTACTTGCTGAATGATCTGTGTCATGGTTCTTAAGGAGTAAGGACACTTCCACGTTATTAAGGACTGAATCATCCTTAATCATGCATTCTTGCCCTTCTTGCCTCCATTTCAGTGTCTGTTCTTGGAAATTGACTTCCATATTCCCCAATTTTGTTAACCATTCCAACCCTAGAATCATATCTGTCCCTCCCAGTTCTAGGACATAAAAAATCGGATGAATTTCAATCCCCTGTACTGTCAACATTTGCCATTGTTCTGAATAAACTCTCCATTCCCAACTTGGACCTTATACCCCTTGATTTGACTGTAAGGAATGTCCCGTTTATCCACACATTTCTGAGATATGAAATTGTGTGTAGCCCCACTGTCAACGAGTAAACTAACCATCCTTTCTTCTGCAGCCCATATCAGTTTCCCCAGTTCTCATGGAAGGAATACCTTCCCTGCTAAGCACAGAGTCACAAACAATTGCATAGCTTTAGATTCCATGTGATTTGTCTCTCCTTCATCAGAACCACTGGAATCTACCTCCAACTCTGCCTCTTCTTCAGATTCTTCAATTAAAACCATCCTGTAGTTTTTCATCTTGCAGACATGCCCCCTATTCCAGTTCTCACCACACTTGAAACATAATCCTTTCTTGCTCCTTTCCATTAGTTCATTTTGAGTCAGTCTGGGGCCCATCTTCCTGAAATGAGAAACCTCACCACCTTCTGCTACTTTGGTATCCACAGTAAGTTTCCCAGAAGATGTTGGATGCAAAATGTTACTGTTATTCTTGCTTCCCTCACTCCATTTAGGATATTGGACTCCCCTAACAGTATTACTCTTCCAGAACTTCTTTCCTTCTTCCTTGTGTTTCCTGGATAACATCTCCTCATTTTTATTCTCAATTAACAAGGCCTTATCCATGATTTCCGCCAAATCTTTTGTCTTGTACAGCTTTAGCTCAGCCCTGTTATCCTTCTTGAGCCCATTTAAAAAAAAATCTCTCATGACCTTGCTGTACAGATTGTCTATAGAGGAGCAAGTGCCATCTCAAATTGCTCACGGTATTCTTTGACAGAATTCCTTTGTTTCAAACTCAGTAAAGGCCCCAATGGATTTTGAACCAGTTCTGGTTGGAAGCGACGGGTCAACGCTTTCTTCAACCTCTCCCAAGTCATCTCCCTAACCTGTTTCTCCCACCACTGAAACCAGCTAAAAGCCTTGTCTTCCATCGCGAGTACTGCCACCTCGACTTTCTCTTCTTCTTCAATGTTGTTAAGTCGGAAATAGCGATCAATACGTACCAGCCATCCGTAAGCATCTTCACCATTGAATAGCGGTAGGTCCACCTTTCTCCTGGACTGATGATGATTGCGATGTCTATTAGGCGGGGAATAATCCGACTGACCTTCGGATCCTGCAGAAGAATCATCATGTCTCGCAGAGTGCCGATGCGAGGTACGATGCGATGCATGTGAAGCATGTGACCGACTGCACGAACGATGCTGATCTCTCGCGTCCATTCGCGCCATCATCGTAGTTAGCAATTCGGTATTTTGCTGTAGATTTCTCTCCAAGTTATCCATCCTAGCTTCCATCTTTGCGCACGTCTGTACCATCCACAGTCTCTGATACCAATGTTAGAACTCTGCAATTCTACAAACAATTCACAGAAGCTAACAAGACAACTGCTCGAACTTTATTTCTCAAGGCAACAATGGCCGAAGCCCCCAAAAGATAGAGATACAACTCTGATCTTCCCAGAAATGACTTAGAGTCAGAAACAGCCTACTAACAATATCCAGTTTACTACTATTTATAGTAAGTAACTACTCTACTAACCGGAAAACAGTTATTAGCTATCAACAACTATAACTAATAACTAAGTAACTAACTCTACTTCCTTCTAGAATACACTTTGCCAAAGTAATTATCATCTCCCCTCGGTTTAGTAGAGTCTCTAACAAATAGAAGGCATAAGAATGATAAGAGGAGGAAACGGAAATTACTTATTTGCCCTTGCCACTGAAATATTGAAATCGAACAATTCTGTAATGAGAAGTAATGTTCTCAGTAAGGATCAATTTTTAGACCTTCATACTATGAAATTTGAAAGACAAACTCCCTCGTGCAAATCAATATATGTCAAAAGAAAAGTACAAGTCAGTAAAATTCAAGGCATGATGCTAATATTCAGTCATTCGTTATATAACAATTGCTCACCTTCAGTAATGCAACATGATCTCCAACATTGCCCATATGGAAATTCAACCTTGCATTGTCAGCATGCACTTGTTTGTCCTTTGGACGATAAAAGATCGAATTTCCAATAGACAGCATTGCTGCAATACTTATGATCTCATCAGAGCATTTATACTTTTCAGAAGCAACAATCATCTTGGAGAGCATGGGGTCAAGAGGGAACTCAGCCATTCTTCTGCCAACTTTAGTCAATTCACCATGCTTACTAAGAGCACTTAGAGCAAAGAGCACTTCCAGTGCTTTTAGTAGAGCTTCAGCAGGTGGTGGATCCATAAAATCAAAGTTTAGCAAATCATGAATGCCCAGACTCTTAAGAGAAAGCACAACATTTGCCAGGTTGGTCCTTTGAATCTCTGGAACAGTATTATCCTCCAAGTCATTTAAAAAGTTATACGCAGTGTACAGCCGGAAACACTTCCCGGGCCCTGTTCTTCCGGAACGGCCAGCCCGTTGGTTAGCAGATGCCTTTGAAATAGGAGAGATATGTAATGATTCCATGCCGGTACGAGGGTTATATGTCTTCACCTTACAAAATCCAGGATCAATTACGTATTTTATCCCATCAATGGTCAGCGAAGTCTCGGCAATATTTGTAGCAAGAACAACCTTGCGTGCCCTTTCAGGAGTAGCTTCAAAAATTTTGGCTTGTAGTTCTGTTGGAAGGTTTGCATATATTGGGCACATAATTAGCTCTGCTATTTTTGTTCCCAAGCCCTTGATCCTATGTTTAATGATCTCCTCAGCTGTCTCGATCTCCTCCTGCCCAGTTAAAAAAACTAATATATCACCATCACCGGGCGGTTGTGTCACATGTATCTGAAGAGCAGTAACAATTGCTGCATCCAAATAATCAGCCTCGGGCGCTTTAGTATAGTGTATATCCACTGGAAACCGCCTTCCAGGTATTTTAAAAATGGGAGCTGTATCAAAATAGTCACTGAACTTCTCGGCATCAAGGGTAGCACTTGATATAAGCAACTTGAGGTCAGGACGGAAACGAGCAATATCCTACAAGAAAATAATCAATTAGGAAACAAATAATCAAATTTTGGAAAAGAAGAACAGATGGGCCATTAGACATCCATGGGTGATGAATGTAATCCACCACTAGACAATCCACTAAATACAAACATTGAGGTAACCACAGAATGAGTATCAATTTCACTAACACTGATGTAAAAATGCATGAAATATTTTGTGTTTCCCATGGAAATAAAAGACAGTTGAACAGCATAATAAGACAAGCTGCATCTCTCGCTCTCCCTCCTACTCTACTAGCAGCCAGTGGCATAAAAAACACATCAGCCGCATCCTGGAGCTGTGATATGTTTCACTTAAAACTACAATATGCACCAGTAAGTAGGAACACAAAGAATTGAAGTAACTACTTGCCTTAACCAAGCCAAAAAGGATATCAGTTGATAAAGTTCTTTCGTGTGCCTCATCCACCATGATTACACTGTAAATTACATCGAGTCCAGGATTACAAAGAAGCAAAACAAACTACAGTATATTATATGTTAGAAACAATGACATACAACATATCACACACCTGTAACTTGCCAAATCAGGTTCCCCAAGGAACTCACGCAACAACATCCCATCAGTCATATATTTTAGAATGGTCTTCTCTGAAGTGCAATCTTCAAACCTAATTGAATAGCCCACCTGATAACAGATGCAGAATAAGTTTTCATAAGTTAGTAAGTTACAGATCCCCTTGAGCATGTTGGTTTCTTAATAAAAGAATACAAAGAGCTAGGTCTTTTGGTAGCCCAATACTGCTATTTGAGAATCATAAACCATGCAACTTAAAATTCCTTAACCAAAATTTAAGTGTTTCTACCATATGAACCTGTAAAAGGAACTATAGAGTAAGACAAGGACGGCCACATTCATGGCTGAATCTGAATTTGAACATCAACTCCTTTTGTTTCTGCCAGTGCAATCATGAACGGATAAGCCTGGAATTGAGACAATAATGTCCTACTCTCGCCCACAAATTCAGAAAGTTGCTTATGTACTCTTATTTCACTGGGTTTTGAAGAGCAATCAAAAGAATGTCCTACTCAAGTTCAAATTCAAAAATTCAGAAGACTGCTTCACATTAGATCCCCCCCCACTGAATTTAATACTCATGGGTGGACCAATTTTTTCCCCATGAATATTGTGTTGATCAATGAGACAAGATCAGGTGTTAAAGCAAAGTTGGAACTCTGGCACCAAATTCTAGAGAGCAAGGATTTCAGGCTGAGTCGAAGCAAGAAAAGTATATGGAGTGCAAGTTTAGTAAGGATTGAAACAATGGTAACAGTGGGAATATTTCCTAAACCGTGCGCTAGACAGTCAGGCGAATGCTTGTTTGCGCCTTAGGTGATAGAGTACTCTAGAGCCTTGAGTACGCCTCGTGACATTGACTTCCTTGCTTTATACTTCTTCTTACCAACTAATAAATATGAGTAAAGGCTACAATAGAATCCTAATCTAGCTAGCCGGATGTTAGAATTGAATTACAATGTACTATCAAACTATTAATCTAAACTTCAAAAGTACTACAAATAGAAGTTAATGAGTTGCAAATTATTGTTAGACTATTTTGTAAGAAAAAAGTATAGTGTGTTGCTAACCACAAAGGAGTACCTCATGTCCAAGTTTGACTCCCATTTCTTGGGAAACACGGGCAGAAACACTCATGGCAGCAACTCGGCGTGGCTGAGTACATCCCACCTGATCAAATTGGTAGCTTTAGCGCATAGGTAACTATATGCATACTAAAGAGATCAAATATCCTACTTCGACAATGAGTTAGTCTTCACAATTAGGAATACCAACTTCTAGTCACCAACATCACACTGAAGGATTTCACCAAGAGATATACAAGCTCATGCAGTTCTTGCATGGTTTATTAGTATAGGAAGAAGAATCACCTTGCCACGTTTGGTGTACCCTGCCTCATGCAAGTACTGAGGTATCTGAGTAGTCTTGCCAGAACCTGTCTCTCCGACAATGACTAGAACCTACAAAGAAATAAAGATCAGTCTGGACATAGTTCAAATTCAATAGGAAAATATTATCACATAATTTGTAGGTACTCCACTGGAAACAGTATCATTAGAAGCAATCAATATAAGGGAAATCAACCAACCTGGTGCTTATCGATAGCTTGCAGCAACTCATCACGATATGGATAGATGGGCAAAGTTTTCCTGTCTGCCTAATAATAAAACCAGGGAAGTCAAGGAAATTTGTAAGTCAAATAATACGAGATCTCGGGAATGAAACTCTGAGACATGAAGGCTGTAGAACAGTGTTTTATGAACTCATACTTGCAGTTTTTCAAATGCTGATTTAGCAACAGAAACTTCTAGTTCCTCAATAGAGGACTCTTGATCAACCTGCGTGAAGAAGGCTAAAAGAGGTAAGCTGATAAGTCTCAAAAGGCAACTCTTAAGTCTTAATTGACATCTAATATGAAGCAGGAGAGCTTAATGATACACCGCTCCGATAAGCATACATTAACGCCATCCATAACGGCTGCTTTTATGAACTCTATCTGGTCTTCGAACACAAATCTGCATAAAATAAGTACCAAAGGAAAAGAAATAAGGATTGATAGACAATGCTTTAGTTCTTACCTCTGAAACAATAAAAAAAAAGCTTACATAAAAAATAAAAAATAAAAACAGAAACTGCATCAGTGCAACAAATGCATTTCTTTAACTCACTGGTAATCATCAGATTTTGCCTTGCGATCTTTAGAACCAAATTTGAGTGTAGCTTTGCCTGTAAAGAAAAACACTAGATTCAGTAACTGAAAAGTCACTTGGACTAATCGAATTAGAGTAAAGCACTACCAACAGTAAATAAGAGTTTACCTATTTGGTGATCCTCCCAAGCTTCTTGTTCAGCAAAAGGGTTCATCTTGTCATTAGCATCAGGATCCCTAAAGGAGGGGGTGGGGTGATAAAATTATAAGTGTGACATTCTACTGACTAGAATGTTTCCCAGGTTGAAAATGAGGTAACATCATATCCTTACCTGTAGCGTTGCAGTGCAACAGCAAACCTTTGCTCTTGATTTACACCACCTTCAAGATCATATGCATCGGGAAACCTATACTGTATAAATGCATCACACCAGAAGGAAGCAAGGAAATAACTTCAATTAATATAGCTTATTTAGACTAAATCTGCCCCAGTGCACCAATCCAAGGCTCTTTTATAATGTTATATTAGTATTGGCTATTCTGAGCAATCAGAGGACAGGTCAAGATGAATTTTGGTTGTGAACTTCACAGCTAAAAAAATGTTGGAATGAGTCTCAAAAGATATGGGCATATGGTTATGGAAAGATAACACTGATACTAATTAAACAACACACTTAAACAAGTATAACTTGCCAATGAATAAAAGGATACATAATTATTGATAATGCACTAACGCACAAAAGAAATATCCTTTACAAAATTACCTCATTTTTGCCATCATCCTCCTCGGTCCGCTTTTTGATTAGATCATATAACTCTCTCTTGTACCTTAGGGGGGAAGTGTCAAAAATATTTCCATAATGAAATTATGCACAGGAACAATTTATTGTTATGAGCAGTAATCCAGTTGAGTACCTCATCTCCTTATATTCTGCTTCAGTTAGCTTCATCCCATCAAATAAGTACTGCTCATCTTCTATCTCATCTCTGAGTTCATCTAATTTCTTTTGCTCTCTTTTCTTAAGATACTCTTGCCTTGAGACTTTCCTGGAAAAAGAATTACACTTAAATTATCATAAAAATTACTGTATCACAGTATATGCTCGCTCAAGGTACTGTCTAAACATAAAATGTTGACTCACTTTCCAAATTCAAAGCTTTTAATTCAAAAACTTGCCTTAAAATTTGACAAAGGGGAAAGAGGTGCTACCTCTGAATTAATCATATTTGTATATTTAGTACATATTTTTTTTTAAATAAAGAGAGAATACGTCTGAAAACACTTCAGTACAAGTATGCAGCGAAATATGTCATATCCTCTCCAAGCCACACAGTTTTGCTCGAAAAAATGTTTTTCAAATCAATAACAGATAACAGCACCTCAAAATGCAGAAATGGAACAAAAGTATGAATCTCATTTCCATGGTATAGTAATCGAATTACATCAGTGTTGTCAATCCACGATAGAAGAGCAAATAGCTAGCCCTAAGAGTGCTATATTGGCATAAATGATGGCGGGCAGCTGCTATTCTGTAATGTTCTACACAATACGATGTAATACATAAGCATAAAAGATCTGATTGAAGAGGGAGAGGAGCCATAGATAAAGGAGATAAAGGAAAAACTGCAGTAGGATAGAAAGATGATGGTGGGAGACTGGAGGTCACCGGGGGTCGCTAGTCACCTTAGATGAGTCACTGGGGATCACAGGTTTGCTGAAGTGGGTCACCAAAGATAGAAAGATGATGGTGAGAGGTAGTCATGACTCGCAACTTGTGAGAAAAGGGGCCAGTGAAATAATGAAAATAATAATAATATGATTATTAGTACTATTGTTATTACTATTACTATTATTATATTATAATAAAAACAAAACTAACTTTTCAGATCTGCACCTCTGATCGCAGTAAATAGATTTCTTTTTACCTATTAAACTCCGAAAAGTGTCCCCCCGGAAGAAACCCTGATGTTGAATTAGTACGGAGTTACGGACAAACCAGGAAAAGCAGATTCGATAAAAAAATATTGAGGTGTGGAGCTATTGCACCTGCTATGACCACTAGTTCTCCCATTACGACTGCAACACTAACCCGATCCCCACTATGGCCTACGGATGGCCTGTAGTAGCCAGTTCATATCTGCACGCTACTACGCCACTATAGTGCACTACTGAAAACACTAATATATATACATAAGTATGCACGTTACTTGTATATAACACACCTTAAAGTTCCAATCTCATCTTGCTCCAAAGCGTTAGACCTCCTGATTGCCTCTTCTGTTGTGCAGTGAAGAGGGTACACAAATATGAGTAAAGGAATTACCAAACTAAACTCTTGTTTTGAATTAGTGAATTGAACAAAACTTTACCTTCATCCTTTCTGGATAACTTTTTCTCAGTCAACTGGTAAGTATCAAAGTGCATATGTGACAACAGTAAAAAAATGGTTAAGTAGGTTCCACACATACAAGAAAATATCTGGAAACATACAAAGGGTCAAAGCCATGTACCTTTCTTGTTGATGCAGCATCTCTTTCTCTGATATGTCTCTCCAACTCTTCTCTCTCCTTTTTATCACGCAGTCTTTCCTCTTCTGACTGTGCAACAAATGCAAACGGGACAAGATAAGCAGAGATATAGCAGATATGTTCTGGGAAAAGAAGCCATTTCAAACCAAACTGTAAAAAGTGTACAGCTGAAGTAAATTTAAGTAAGTACAGGGTGAACTACTTCTGTCAAAAGGGTTATTAAAAACAATACACACTATATGTATGAATAATTATACATGCATACCTCAGAACCACTATCACCACCATCATCGTGACCATCATCATTGTTAGTTCGTCTCCTTACTTGTCTTTCCTCTTCTATTTTTCTTATTTTCTGCCACATCACAAGTTAAGACAGTAGGATGTTAATTAGATAAACAAAAAATGCATCAGCATATCATAAGAAAGAAAGCCAAATTATATTAGTAAGAATGTAAAAAGTGTGCCTCTTCATCTTCATCAGCTTCAGAAACCGCCCTCCTTCTAAATCTCTTTTCATGACCCTTCCTCCTAGTTTCTGAAGACACGTGAGCATTGCTATGAACATCAGCAGCAGCATCAGCATCATCCTCTATTATTGTGTAGGTCTTTTGCTTCTTTGCAAGCATCACTGCCTCCCTTTCTTTTTGTTGATATAGCTGTTATGATTAAAAAACAAGCATATTAGAAAATGAAATTGATTCATGAACCATCGTACCAGCATTTCAAAACCCAAAAAAAAACAAAACAAAAACTCACATTTGGTCCTGCAGCCTTGTGCTCAACTCTAGAAAAAAATTCTTGTGCAAATTCCTTTGACTCATGGGTTGATGGTACTCCCGCTTCAATGAGCATGCTAGAAAGCTCATTAGGAGAGGAAGCTTTCTTAGCTACAAACAAGGATAAAACAAATAAAAAGATATCACGATAAACTGATAACCATACTTCAACCCCAACAATTATACTGGCACTTTCCTGCATCCTTATTTCGTTGATTCATAATATTGAAAATAAAACAAATTGCTTTGCTAAATATTGACAGTTATTACTTACCTAAACCAATTACATAATTCACAAGTGTACTTTGGGAATAACCCAAAACCGATATGAGGGTATCTGATACCCACTTTTTCAAATCACTTCCCATTGTACTGCACTGCTGCATAAACATTGTCAAATAAAATGTCAATAGTTTTGAATAGTGTAGCCATTCTTACACATGAACGTTTTAATCTTCTAAGGATGCTAAAGAGAGAGAGAAAATATGAGGTGCAGATGACCTACCACACAAATTGGGAAGATGGGCTGAAGTGCTGAGCTCCAGGGGCGGATCAAGGAATGTAGAGTGGGGTGAGCTAAGAAGTAAAAATATTTGTTACTGCACACAAAAGGTTTAACTTAGGGTTGTTATCAAATCAAACTTTTTTCAAACTACTCAAGTTCGAGCGCGATTTCAAATTTAATTTAACGACTCGAGCTTAAAGAGTTTCAAAATCAAACATGAGCTAGATTTTGAGTTTGAATAGTTATTCAAGCCGAGTTTGAGCATAGTGACGTTCGGTTCGATCCAGACTCGAGCCTATCGATAACTCATAATTATAGGCATGGTTTTAAAAGGCGAAACGCACCTACGCCTCAGAGGCGTAAAAGCGCAAAGGCGCTATCAAATCGCCTGTAGGGCTTGAGCATCACCTTCCACTAACAAGGCTAACGCCTTTTTTTGCTGAGGCGGTGATGCGATCCCAGTGCGCAAGGCGTAATTGAGGCGTACGCATTTTACTAAACGCAACTTGGGCTCTTTTTTTTTGAACTATTGGGGGCCTCGATTTGATTTTTTTAAAAAAACTACACGTTTATCTCTTAGGTAACACACAACATCCCTAGGTAACTATTTAATTACCTTCCACTACTACTATATTAAGAAACAGCTTGAAAAACTCTCTCAGTCGAAGGCTTGAAGCTGAGTATGTAGACTTCGATCTTTCAGAGTTGCTTTCATTCCAGGTATTATTAAGTAAATATATTAAAATATCCCAACGACCACTTGTATAGAATATCCCACCATGTACAGCATACTTCTATAGTTTCTTGTTGTATTTATTGTTTAAGTTAATTTGTTTTAACTTTTTAATTATTTGAAAGTTCAGGTTTGAAGTATATAGTCTGCTACGTATTTAATGCTTTTTCAGCCAGCAAACTATAAAATATTCCAGCGCCTCACTATAGTTGTTATGCACTTATGCTATTAAGTATTATGGTTGTCAACTTGTCATTCAATATTATTATTTTATTAATTTATTACTGTACTATTGGCCTACAGTTTAAACTTTAAAGTGATCATAAAACTATCATTTAGCTTATTTATTTGTCCTGGAATTTTAGTGTTTACGTTGGTTTGAGTTTTGACTTTGGCATTTCAATTTTATGTTATTCTGACTTGGATGTTTTATAGTTATGTTATTTTTACTTGATTTTGTTTAGATGGGATATTCTTTTAAACATGTAAGCAATTAATTTTGAGGCTTACGCCTCGTTACGCCTCGAGGCTTACGCCTCGTGAGGCTACGAGCAAATGCCTCGAGGCCCGATTTCGCATTTCAAAACCTTGATTATAGGAATAAATTATATATATCTTAAAATTAAAACGTTTTCAGTGCGATTTTATAAATTTATAATTTTTATTAAAGATGATAGAATTTATTAGTATGAATTAAAATACTTCTATAATAAAAGTATAAAACTACTCAGTAATAAGTAAAAACAATTGTTTTACATAAAACTAATAAGTATTCCCAATTTCAAAATTGAATTGAGATTTTTAATTGTTCCTTATATGTCCAAACAATAAATAAATCATTCTATAATCTTCAATTGTACAGGTTCAGAACTCCCTTCAACACTTTGATGATCCACTTTTGGAAAGAATGGCGAAATCAACTTCTTCCTTTCTTGGCAATATGTTCATTATCGATTTTGAAAAAACGTTTTCAATATTGGTATGAATACTTCTATAAAATTATATAATTAATAACAAAAAACAATTTTTGTACATAAAACTAATCAGTATTCTCAAATTCAAATATCAATTGAAATTTTTTCATCTTTCTTACATGTCGACACAATAAATAAACCATTCTCTAATCTTCAATTGTATAATAAATAAATCATTCCCTAATCATTAATTTTATGTTTAATCATTATAAATTTATAATGATAAACACTATTTTATTATGTACTGAAAAAATCAATTAATAATTAAATAAATTTACAAACCTAAAAATGACAATACAATATATAACACAGTCACAAAACAATAAATTAAAACATAAAAGTAAAAAATAATAATAAGCTAATAATACCTGCTCACCTGGAGGTTGGAGCTGGAGCCCAGAAACGCAAAATCAAATTTTCCGATTCGGATAGGAGAGCTCAGAGTCGGACAGGGAAGAGTGGAAGACAGTCTACGCAGGGGCTCAAGGCCCTGGACGCCTGGAAGGCGGCTTGGCCTCTGGCTGCAGGTTTTCGTCTCTTCCTCACGTTTCGTGCCTTCCTCAGTCCTCACGCTTCGTCTCTTCGACCTTCGTTCTTCGCAATCGCACGCAGTTGGGCCAGTTCGCATAAGGTAGGCCGCAGGTCAGGCACCGGTATGCTTGGGCTGGGGAGAACTGTGGGCATTAATGTTGGAGGGCTGATAAAAAACATTCCTACGTGGAGTTTTTTATAAAAATATTACTAAAATAAAACATATTTACATAAATATGACTATTCATTACTACAATGTGGTGTTGTGGTAACTTAAGCTCAAAATTTAAACATGAATTACTATTATTTCATTACTACTCTAGTCATTAGTCATATTTTTGTAAATATCTTTATTTTGATCATATTTATGTAATTATTTCATTTAAGTAACATTACTAAAAAAACGTTTTTTGCCTTTCAAAACTGATTTTTACTATTTCTATTACACACAAAGCACATATTATTCAAACACTATCAATTTTTTATTTTTCAAAATCACTTTTTCTAAAACAGTATCAACTTTTACTGTTTATCATCTTACTATATACAAAACGCAGTGGAAAGGCAGGCTGATTTTCCCGCCCAATTCCACTGCCAAAAACGGGTCAGATGGTGTTGAAACGGATCTGGACTGAACCACATGTCTAGATAGAAAGTTTGCATTTAATGTTGGCTACTTTAGTTGCTTTTGGGCTTCAAACCGGGTCATGAGCTGACAGATAGCAATAAATTATTGTAGCAACATGTCTTTTCAAAACTTTTTAGAATATTAAATGCAAAAGCTTTGATGGTATGTACGCTAGAAGTATCTAATCTCTACAAGGCAATATTTTGCATTTAATGAAAGGAGATCTCATATCTAAAAATCTTACTTTAAAGTACAAGGGCATTTAATGTTTTGCAACTTCTTTCAAAACTTTAGTTGTAACCCATCGGGGAAAAAAGCGTGAATACCCGTTACATTCCAAACCAATATACTCCTCTACACCAGTATAAATAGCTTACCTCAGTCAGTTCATTTTCTATCCCACACAGCACTCTTTTGTCTCACAACATATTTCAATGGCACCAAATCAAGGAATGTACTCATTTCTTAGAGATATTGATCAAACAAAGACCACTTGGGTTGTCAAGGTGAATGTGGTCAGGGCTTATGAATTGCCACCTCAGGCCAAGGGAGGACAGATGATGGAGTTGGTGTTCATGGATTCACAGGTAGTACTACTCAAGGAGAAAACTCATTGATTATGCATTTAGATATTTATGTTCAACCAAACAATTTGTTTAATGAATTCGTAATTTGAGGGAGAAAAGATTCACGGCTTAATAAACATACCACAACTTCGGTTGTTTAGGTCGGAGATAAAAGAAAATGGTGTATACGTCATAAGGGATTTCTTGGTGAAGGACAACTACTTAACTTACAAAGTCACTCACCATGCCTATTTAATTGAGTTTTACGGCAAAACATATATAAAAGATATAAATCCAGAGTGCCAAACAGTGTGTTTGAATTTCAGCAATTTGAAGTTCTACAAGCCTTAAGAGTTGTTGATGACAAACAACTAATGGGTAATATTTAGAAATTTGAGTTTTTGAAATTTAAATTTAAGTGAAAAGGCCTACCATATATATATTTTGGTGCAGATGTTGTCGGAAAGGTCTTGACCAAGTGCACACCTCAAAACCATGTTATCAATGGTAAATCGGAGAGGTTGATGGAGCTTACTCTTGAGGATTCAGAGTAAGCATTAAACAAAATTATTACCGCGGAACATGAAGTGTATTTAATTAACAGTAGGTAGTTCTTATTTACAGTGGAAACCGTTTGGGCTGCACTCTATGGAACAAGTTCATAGACCACTTTCTAGACTATTACGAAAATCACAAAGATGAGGCCATTTTTGTGATTGTTCAGATGTGCAGGCCAAAACGCTACAAAGGTGGTGATTGTTTTGAAGGCTTACCGCTAACAATTTTTTGAATATTATTTTTCTACTAAAAAACTTTGTATTTCAGACACAATTTCAGTGACGACCTCATACGATGCTAGCAAGTTGATTATTAATGGAAACACAACTGAACTGGTGGACTTCATGGCCCAGTACATATGATGTTAATATCATATAGTATGTCTCTATTTCTAAATTTACAGTGCCTAAAACTTTCGTTTTGAATGTTCTAGGTTTCCACTAGAAGAGAGGGACAACGGCACATTGACTACCTTGGCTGCTAATTCACAAGTTGAAAGTCGTGAAGACATTGTTCGAGGCAATGTGACCATAACGACTATTTCAGATTTGCTTAAAACAACAGAGGTAAACTCGGAAAAACTGAGAAAATGGATTTATTTTGAAATAGCAAAGAAAAAGAGGTTATGTTTGATTAATGCATTTTGGATTTCTACTCAGGACGGAGTATACTGGATATTGGGAGATGTGGTCTCAATTGAAAACTTTAGAGAATGGTGCTATTTGAGTTGCATCTCTTGCAACAAGAAACTGAAACCAGAAGAAGATAGGTTCATTTGTTTGTCATGCAACTTGACGGTTCCAGAGGGTATTCTTAGGTACAACCACCAGTAAAAAAATTATTTATAAAAATATTTGAGGATTGACTACAAAAAACGTAATTAATAATTAAAGTTTTGTTAGTAGGTACAAAGTTACCGTGTGTGTGATGGATGATTCCGGTCATTCTTCATTCACACTTTGGGACAGGAAATGTTTAGACATTGTTGGGAAGACTGATGCATCCCTAAGGAAGGAAGTGGAGAAGGTATAAAGGTTTTCATAGCAACCGGTTCTAATGTCACAATGAGTTCTGTAAAGGCAATGGTCTAATCCAATTTTTTTTGGCAATTTTTGTAGAGAACGGGAGATGCTTCTCATTTTCCAGAAGACATTGAAGCTATTATAGATAAAAGAGGATTGTTCAAAGTGCAGTTGAAGACCAAGGTCGAGAGTGGTTCTTACAAAGGACCTACTTCCTATGGCGTCATTTCAATGATAACCGATCCGGAAGTTTTGAAAATTTATGAAAATCAGAACAAGAAAGGGAATGGTCTTGAAGAACTTTCTGATATAGAGAAGGTAAATTAGTAGGCTAACACAAAAAGATTTAATAAAAAATCTGTTTTTTATTATAAAATATTAATTAGAATAAATAATTAAAAATTCCAAAGTGGCTCAACAGCAGACAACTTGGAGGGAAGCAGAGGACAAACAAATACCGTTGACGTTGTTGACCTGGAAAAGGTATTTCGTAGGGTAGCAGAATTTATTGTCCTACGTATTTTATCGTGTCTGTTTTTTTAAACAATAAATTTGGATACAGGAAGGGGAGGATGATGTCACTCCGACACAAAGTAAACTTAAAATAAAGGGATGTGAAGAAGATGAGAATCTGAAAAGGAATTTGATTGAGCTGTTTTCTGCAAATGGCAAGAAGTTGAAGACCAAAATTAAGAAGGAACCTGAATAGAAGGCCAAAACGACACTAAGGATGGACGGCCTTATGTTTTGCTATAACTATTCACGATAGTGAAAAACATTATGCTCGAATTTGTTTTTTTTTTTTTGAAAACTTAATCTTAATGGAATCAAGGTCAATCTCTGTCACATGTTGGACTTTTACTAAAAAAAAAGTGTGTTCACTCACGATCAACTTTATGTTGCAGTGTCAAGACTCACCAATCATAAAGGGTTGAAGATATTGATTTGTGATGAGGATGACCAACAAATCGATCATACTACTAATGTTGTTTACAAAGAAGTTTTTCAGAATTTGTAAATTCATTATGTGCACTTATTGTTTTTCTTACCACTTTGTACTTTCATATGTTATATCTATCTTAACTACCAACACTTATTATATTACTTACCACATTATTACGAGCTCAATGATTATTGCATTTTTATAATACACATCTTAATCACACATTGGTAAAATTTCATCCGCGCATCGTGATCGGCTGAAACTTGCAAGTGTACAAGTGCCAATGTAGTAATAAATTCCGGTAAAAATACCGGGTCGAACACAAGGAAACGTTGTTTATATGATTCAAAAGTGAAAGCGGTTTAGTAAAAGACTTAAGAAAAGAGTAAAGATTTTTGGTTTTTTAAGAGAAAAAAAAGCAACCAAGGGTTCGGGATTACTCCTAAATGACTCCTAGTGATGAATATATGTTCTTTCGCCAATTCTTATGAGTGGAATGTCACTAAAGTATTCTAACTCCTGTTACGGCAACGAGATTGTGATTAATTCTACGTGTGAATCCCGTCACGGTTCACATTCATCTAAAATTAACCCCATTGAAGATTAGGACATTATAAAAACCACCATACTCAATTGAGGTATATTTCTATCCACAATTAGAATATGTCTAACCTTTAAGTGCACGGTTTATAACTCAACATTAATTGCTCAAATAAACCCAATGATATAATCATACGTTGTACACCGTAGTCATACACATTAAAATATAAAGGAAATATCATAATAATTTTGTTGAGAACATACATCAAACACCTAGAGTGCGTAAAGTTTCATCCCTAACCTTGGCTATAGAAAATTAGCTAGAACAATTCTTAATGAAATTACAAGTATTGAAATGATAAATTACAATGAAATACATAAGAAAATGATACCACAACTCCAAAGCTATGGTGGACAAAGCTTTCCCCAAGTGTAGAACTTCACCCAAGACCAAGGGATTGCTCTTGGGATGCCAAAGTGGAAGTAAAGTGTGTAGAATATGGAATAATGTGTTGAGAGGGCTTCAATCCTCTTAAATATTGAGTTCTCAACGGCCATTTTCGGACAAGGAAGCAAGATCCTTAATGGGATTTGGTGTTTTGCCCGAATGATTGTGATGACCGTTGCTTGTTTTAATCAGCTCCAGGCGAAAGGCGGGCGACATTCGCAAAAGCCGGGCGGCTTTTGCGCGTTTAAAACAGGCTTCTCCGCTCCAGGGACCGAAAGCCGGGCGGCTTATGCCAAAAGCCGGGCGGCTTTTGGTTTGATTTATTGAATAAATTCCACGGCGCCCAAAGCCGGACGCCTTTCATGAAAGTCGGGCGGCTTTCGTCTTGTTTTGCTCCGGATGCTTTTCCTTCA